GGAACACCTGATTCCAATAATTTGGATGGGTGAGCAAATACTTTTGGCAATATAGTGTATATATATATATGTATGTGTATGTGTGTGTGTGTGTGGGTGTGTGTGTGTGTGTGTGTAACACTCAGATGCATTTTGTTTGTGCTTTACGGCAATTCACACACTGTTATTTCCTTTAGTATTTATTCATATTGATTATCTAATGAAGTGCATTAGGAAGAATTACTTAAACAGAAATATGATGACAGAAACTTTGCTTTCAGGGTAAAGCATCATTTTGCACCTGTTTTTCTACAGTGCAAATAGTTGCTTGCTTCTATATTGCAGGTTAAATGTCATGGATTGATCCCTTGAATCCAATATTTTTTTTCTCCTGTTCTGAGAAGATAAAAATCACTGAGTAAGAGCAGTAAAATAAACAGCATCAATACAGACATTCTCTATTTTGAAATCTAGCAGGATGTTTATCTCTAAATGTTTAAATTACATTACGAAAGAGTGCTTAATTTGATTTCTATTTGAATAATTAATGGGTAGAGTAGATTTAGGGAGATATTAATGAATAAAAAATTCACTGTTTCAATTTGGGGATCTCCCCGCAGAAATATATGTCTTGAAGAGACGTGTGAAGAGATTATCCATTACTGGACAGAAGCTTGTGGCCAGTTAACAAACTACATTGTTTATTGTATTACAGTATTTTATTGTCAATAATGTAACACATTGTGAAGTTGGATTTTTTCCATTAAAAAAAGAAAATAAAGATTATTCTGTCACATATTTGTGTCCCTACCTTTAAGTTGTCAAGACATAAATTCCTACATTCATCTTCTACTGGGATTGCAGTTCTTTTGGGCAACAGCAGGCAACTTGGCACATCTCAAAACTTAACTGTAATTAGGTGGGCACGTTGACTGAGTCATTCTGATCCAAAAACATGAGCTGATCTAAACATTCACATTGTAGTTCTGCTTGTATACTCAGGATGAGTCCTGATGGAAGTTCTCCACCTTTTCTCAGGTCGATTGAAGCCTCTTGCTGGTTTTCTTCCAAGAAGTTTCTGTGCTTACTTTATTTCTTTCCATATTCCATTCATTTCTTATACACATTGTTATGCCTTTCTAAAAGAAATACATCCCCTCATCACTATGCTGCCCTCAGCCTGTTACACCACTGGGTAGGTCTTATTACACATACACATAGTCTAAGATTTCAGAAAAACTACATAAAGGCTAAGAGATCTTTACATAGATGGAGCATTTGCTGATT